ATAGAATAGAATAGAATAGAATAGAATAGAATAGAATAGAATAGAATGTATCTTGACTTTTGGCCTTCACTTTTTGGCTTGTTTCCCTATGTGCACCAGTGCCGCTGACCCAGTCTTAGCCATAAAGGTTCCTGCATTGAAGGTGTCATCCGCAGCTGGCACCGCTATCGGGAGAGGCCCTGGAACCTTTAGGTGGTGGGGCTTAGCCACAGGAAGTAGGCCATGGAGGCAGATCCTTGGGGACTTGGGCCCCTCTCTGCTTCTCTTTGCTTCCTGTTTGCCTCTGCTCCTCCTCCTCAGTGCTCCTTGGGAGCATCCTGTTCTCTCTGACCCCAGTGCCTTTACCTTCTCCATTCCTATCCCTGAGCCCCACTCCCCAACACTTCTACTGGATTAAGCCTGATTTCAGTCTCGTTTAGAAGGCTTCCAGCACCTTCCCCAGCCCAACCTAATCTCACAGCCCTTCCTCCTAGTCTCACCCAGCACTAATGACTTACACACATCTGCCTCCTCACAGATGGGAGTGCTTCTAGGGCAGGGGCCATGGCCACAATGCCCGTGGCCCAGACCACTGCTATACCACTAAACAGAATGGCCAGCAGCAACCAGCTCTGACACTGCCTACCATGGAGCCAGATAGGCTGGGTGCATGTCTGTAATCCCAGTATTCAAGAGGTAGAGGCAGGAGCATCAGGAGTTGAAAATCATTCCCAGCTGTGTATCAGCTTTGGGGGCAGCCTAAGCTACATAAGGCCCTGCCTTAAAAGCAAACAGCCCAAGCCAGGTGTGGTGGCACACACACCTTTAATCCCAGCTCTCTGGAGGTTGAGGCAGGAGGATCTCTGTGAGTTTGAGTCTAGCCTGGTCTCCATAGAGAGTTCTAGGGCACCCAGGGCTACATAATAGATAGAAGCTCTCTCAAAAGGACAACAACAACAACAATAATAATAATAATAATAAAAGCAAACAACTCACCTGCTAGCCACCACTCCCCTATAGCTAAGAGGGACTCACAATACCATTTTATAAGCCTCCTCTTGATGCCTGGGAAGAGGGCCTGGCTCAGCTACTGTGGAAAGTCTCTGCCCCTGTCCTTCCTGCCCCAGCGGGGACATACTTGGGGTACTTCGCTGTGCCCCAGGTGTTACCCTGCGCTGCCTCCTGCACTCGGGGCTGCAGGGCTTAACCTGCAGTGTGCAGCGCACCCCGAAAGCCCCTACTTCCCTATAGTTCACTCAGCCTCATGTCCACCAGACTCCCAGCCCCCGAGAACGCCTCACCCACCTGAGGCCTCATCCATCTTCATCTCCACCTCAAACTCTGCCGTGACGTGGGACACCTCCTTGGATGGGGACTTGCGGCCCCGGCGCCTCTTCTTGGAGGAGTCACACTTGAGGGTCACAAAAGTCACGTGGCACTTGTCTGAACAGAGAAGAGTACACTGAGGCAAAGGTGATCTGTGTCAGAAGCAGGGTCCTTCCTAGCCCTACCTGCAAACTCCCGGGCAAGGTCCCTCCATGTCCAGGAGGACATGGGACAGATGCGGACAGTGTGGTGCTTTGAATAGGTATAGCCCCACAGGGAGTGATGCTCTTAAGAGGTGTGGCCTTGTTGGAGTAGGTGTGGCCTTGTAGGAGGAAGTGTGTCATCGTGGGGCTGGTTTTGACATCTCCTATCCTCAAACTCCACCCAGTGTGGGACACAGTCTCCTTCCACTGCCTGTGGATCAAGCTGTAGAACTGTCAGCTCCTTCTCCAGCACCATGTCTGCCCGCAGTCCACAGTATTTCCCGCCATGATGATAAAGGGATAAACCTCTGAGACGATAATCCAGCCCCAATTAAGTGTTTTCCTTTATCAGAGTTGCTATGGTCATGGTATCGCTTCACAGCAATAAAACCCTAACCAAGACAAACACTGAAGCAGCGTAAGACCAGAGCTGCTTAGGGTCCCAACAGGAACTGGGGGCTGAAGTGAGCCTCAGGTCCAGCCTCGAGTGACGTATGGAGGTACCTCATAATACCTAGTGAGGAGGCCGTGTGTGTGCTTTCTGCCTGATGAGCATTTGACGCTACGCCTTGGTAAAGCCTGCTGGGGGCTGAGTTTTTTCAGGTCTGTGGGCGGATCTCAAGGGCCCAGAGATGGAGGCTTTCCTCACGGGCCTTTTACTATGCTATTACCTGAGACCAGCCTTGAGGCTGAAAAACCTTCTATCAGGGCTCCACCAGGCCACAAAGAATGTGTGTGTGTGTGTGTGTGTGTGTGTGTGTGTGTGTGTGTGTGTGTGTATGAGTTAATCCTCTGTGGGGCTGAAACAGTGGCCCCACTATGTGCTGTAGTACCCATGATCACCAGTTGCAGTTCATGCCAGACATGGCTCAGAGGGCTTAGGGGCCTTGGTGGAGGACAGACAGGCACCTATGCTTGGGCCAGGAAGTTCTCCTCTGCTCCTTGGGTAAGCAGGGCCGGTGGCCACTTACCCAGAAGGGGATGCCTCAGGGTGTCCTTTCCTCGCTCCTGGCTGCGGGGTCGGAGATGGCACTTGGCATCTCTGATCTTGAAACGGGCCTTCTGCCTGATGGGGGTGGTGGGGGCATCTGGGGAAAGCCAAAATTCCCCCAGGTGGCGGCCTCTCCTGTGGGCAAGGAGGTAGTGGGGGACGGGGGCTGCCAGAGGACAGGTCCTTCTGGAGCTGTGTGGGGCTCGGTGTGGGCCATTCTGCCCCGGCAGCCCTCCTGGGTAGAGGAACCTCCTCTGCCCCACTTATTTCTCTCCCTGTAAGGCCTGAAACAAGTGCACCCATGGCTGGTAGGGTCGAGGAGAGAAAGCTGCTCACCTCCTCCTCCATGGCCAAAGTCACACATATGGTTTGCGCCTTTAGGAAAGAGGACAGAGGGGAGGCAAGGAAGGGGAGGGGCTTCAAACCCTAGGACACCTAGAGCCATAGACTGCTCTGGAGTAGACCCCAGCTCCACCAACCCCGGTGGAGTCCTGTGACCCCGGATGCTCAGAACACATCCTAGATGTGTTAGGCACAACATCCCAGCCTTCATAGTGTTCAAGGGCAGCTCTGTGGCCGAAGTTCAAGAGTATCCTTTGCCCTGTAGCTTGCTTGAGGCCAGCCTGGGCTGTATGAGGCCCTCTCTCAAACAATGGCAGTAACAGAGGTCTGTGGAATCATAATGTTTTGCAGTTACTGAATCACCGTACAGCCGTGGGCTCAGTCAGGAAGGCTCTCATGTGGCTCCCTGACTGTGGCCTGGGCCTCGGCCTCCAGGCTTCCAGGTCCTGGCCCTGTCATGTTTCCAGGATCCCAAGCCATGATGGGCAGGCCCAATGCTTCCTTGGGTGATCCCCCTCCCTCTCCTGTATCACACACCGGAAGAAAGGATGAAAGGGTCATTTAGGCATGGTTGTTTTGGACAGGCCCAAGTTTACCTGAGCAGTTGGGTCCTGCACCGGAGCTGGTGCCATTGCGTTTCGGTAGTGTCTTGCCCTGGAGACCTGGAACACCGCAGCTCAGGACATAGCTGTTCTCTGAGTCTGTGGAGAGGCCAGTGGGTAAGGTCAGCCAGGGCGTACCTCCCTCCAGGGGCCCCAGGTTTCTGAGGTCTCCGAGGGGTTGCTGAATGAATTGAAGATCAAGACTGAGGCCTGTGGAAGCTGCCCGGGTCCACAGAGAGCCAGACGGTTAGCTGTCAGGCAGTGCTCCGTGCCTGGGCTCTGCCCTACTGAGCACTGGGAAGCAGCATGCTAACCCATCCCAATCCAGAGAGCTAAGGGTTACCTGGCATGAAGAGGCTGTGGCCCAGGCAGGACAGGAAGCAGTTCTCCACTCCAGCCACCTTGCTGCAGGACAGCTGGGCCTGGGCAGAGGCCTTGGACCGAGAGAGGCACCCGCCCATTTCTGAGGAGACAGGGAACACAGAAAGGGCTTGAGTGAGGCCAGAGGAACTTTGCATGCCCTCTGAGGCCATGAATATGGGTCAGTCCAGTCTCCTGCCCCCCTGACAGGGCCAGACTGTAGCAGGAAGGCACTTGGGGACAGGAAGATGCAAGTCTGTTTGGCAGTGTGGGGTGCTGGCCACTGACAGCCAGCTTATTCTGTCTCCCTGCAATCCTGGTCTCAGCTATCTGGGGAAAGGTCATTGGCATCCTCAGACAAGAGCTCCTGAAGGCAGGCCTGTCCTCAGAGAAGGTGGCAAGGCCCATCTGGGGTCAGAGGCAGCTGCTCAAGAACTAGGGCATCTCATCTTCTGTGTACAGGAGGGCTACTGATTTTTTTTTTTGAGTTAATTTTATATCCAGCCATGGAGATAACCTAGAACCCCTGCACAGATGTAGCCCATGGCAGCTCAGTCTCCGAGTGGGTTCCCTAGTAAGGGGAACAGGAGCTGTTTCTGACGTGAGCTCAGTGGCTGGCTCTTTGATCACCTCCCCTTGGGCGGGGGAGCATCCTTAACAGGTCTTAGAGGAAGACAATGCAGCCAGTCCTGATGAGACCTGATAGGCTAGGGTCAGATGGAAGGAGAGGAGGACCTCTCTTATTAGTGAACTGGGGGAGGGACATGGGAGGAGATGAGGGAGGGAGGGCAGGATTGGGAGGGGACAAGGGAGGGGGCTACAGTTGGAATACAAAGTGAATAAATTGTAATAAATAAAAATTCTGGGGAGAAAAAAAAAGAACCTGGTCACCCTGGCAGGGACCAACTTCAGGGTACAGGGAGGGGCAGCACCCGCATCCAGGAGGCATCTAAAGCAAAGCAGCTCTTCAGAACTTCTGTGGTTATTGTTAGAAGACTGAAAACACCGGGCTGGAGAGATGGCTATGAGGTTAGGAGCATTGGCTGTTTTTCCAGAGGACCCCAGGTTCCACTCCCAGCACCTATATGTATGGCTCACAACTCTCTGTAACTCAAGTTGCTGTGGGTCTGACGCCCTCACACAGACATACATGCAGGCCAAACACCAGTGACTACTGTGCTGCCTGGTTTTGTGTCAACTTGACACAAGCTAGAGAAGAAGGCCTCAGTTGAGGAAATGCCTTCATGAGATCCAGCTGTAAGGCATTTTTCTCAATTAGTGGTCAATGGGAGAGGGCTCAGCCCATGGTGGGTGGTGCCATCCCTGGGCTGGTGGTCCTGGGTTCTATAAGCAAGCAGGCTGAGGCAAGCCATGAGGAGCAAGCCAGTAAGCAGCACCCCTTCATGGCCTCTGCATCAGCTCCTGCTTTCAGGTTCCATCCCTGCTTGAGTTCCTGTCCTGACTTCCTCCAGTGATGGACTATGACCTGGAAGTGTAGGCCAAAGAAACCGTTTCCTCCCCAGCTTGCTCTTTGGCCATGGTATTTCGTTGCAGCAATAGAAACTGTAATTAGGATATATATGAAATAAAAATAAATAAATTAAGAAAAGGAGAATATCGAAAACATCCTAGGGAAAGGGCCTGGGGAGATGGCTCAGTGCTTTTAGTGAGAGTTTGAGGACCTGAGTTGGGATTCCTGAGAATGTAACAGCCAGGTGTAGGAGCACATGTCTGTAACTACAGCATGGGGGTGAGTGTCAGCGGGGGTGGTGTCAGGGACAGGTGGATTCCTGGAGCTCATTAGCCAGATAACTGAATTGATGAGTCCCAGGTTCAGTGAGAGACCCTACTTGAAAAGAAGGTGGAGGGTAAGAGAGAAAGACACTCTGTAGGTTTCTGGCCGCCACACCCACATGGACACAGCACCTTATGTACCTGTACACACACATGCAGATACATACATATACCACAGATAGGTATATATATATGTATATATGTGTGTCTATATATCTGTATATAGATATATCTATATATATGTAGAGAATATAATTGCAAAGATAAGACAGGGAAAGTAGCATGAACTACTAGACATATATCTGATTGGTAAGGAATGATGGGCTCTGAGCCAGAGCAGGCAGAATGCAGTACTCTGAGCCGGTCCCCAGGGGAAGCCGCTCCAGTGACTAGATCACAAGGGCTCCATCAAGCCACATCCCTCCATAGCCAGAACAAGCCACACTTAGACTCTCTCCAGCCCAAACGCTAACACCACCTGAAGCAAATTCACCTCACCCTCCCTCTGAGGATGAGCGCATGCCTTTGCTCAGTGAGCAAGGCTGGAACGAATGCAGCCCTCCCTCAGAGAGGACTCTGCTCAGCTTCCCAAGCGGGATGCTGAGTGGCCGGTGCTTCCTTTGTCGTTTCTGAGCTCACTCTCCCCAATGCATCCACCAGCCCTTACAGTTGTCCTGTCTTTCCTGATTCAGAGTTGAACCCAGGACCTTATGCGCGCTAGTTAAGTCTCTGCCACCGAGCTGAGCTACCGGCCTCAGCTTTCCTGCCTCTTTTCTTTCGTTTACAGATTTTAGTTTATGCGCATGGGTGTTTTAGCTGCATGTGTGCCTGGTGCCCATAAAGGCGAAAAAGTATTGGATCCCCTCAAACTGGAGCTACAGATGGCTGTGAGCCATCCTGTATGTGCTGGGAATCTACCTTGGGTCCTCTGGAAGAGCAGCCAATGTTCTTAACTGCTGAGCTAGGTCCCCAGCCCCTCCTGACATCTTTCTTTTTCTTTATTTTTCCCCCCTGAGACAGGGTTTCTCTGTATAGCCTTGGTTGTCCTAGACTAGCTTTGTAGACCAGGCTGGCCATGAACTCACAGAGATCTGCCTGCATCTGCCTCCCCAAGTGCTGGGATTACAGGCGTGCGCCACCATGCCCGCCTCTGACATCCTTCCTAATAAAGCCCGTATTTCCTTGGTGCTGAGCTTGGCCAAGGAAAAACTTCATTGTACCAGATTCCATTAAAATCATTTACCCAGGGCTGGGGGATAATTTGGGTGGCAAAATCCTTGCCCCACAAGCATGAGGACCTGAGTTTGACTTCTTGATAACATGTAAAAGAAGCTGGCTGTGACACACAGGCTTGTCATCTCGGTGCTGGGGAGGCAGAGACAGGGTAACCGGCAAGCTTACTTGAGAGAGAGAAGTGTCGGTGACCTGCCTGGGCTTCCACATGGGTGGGTATCTACACAGTCATGTGGTGGTTCACGTGACTCGTCCAACGTACCAAACCCCACTGTACTATATGCTGAGTCTCACTGGTCAGTTCTGTGCACTGCCTGTGAGCTGTCTCAATACAGCTGGTAACAGGAAAGAAAAAACAACAGACTCAAGAGAGATGCCATCAGTTTGAACATGCAGGAATTACCCAGCCGGGTCGAGCCCTTCTCAGATCTCCTTTGTTACCACAGACAACAGGGTAAAGGTTCACAGAGAGCCACGGTGGAGCTTTTGTAGTCACGAGCAACTCTAGAGTGCCGGGAAAACGGAGCACTTTACAGTCACAGCTCAACCCTGAGGCCACGACGTAGGAGCCGGAAGCCACAGGAAGTGGTGTCCTAGCTCAACACTCTCAACAGGCTGCTCTGACCTGAGTATGAAGGCCAGGGCCTCCGTTGGCGCAGGCAGCCAAACCCCATGCACCGCCACATACTGTGACTGATAGCATTCTGATCCTTAGAACCAGGAGGATGCTATCTGCTGGGACCAGGCTGTCCCCCAAGTGCCCTCACACATAGAAGTCTGCTAATGCTTTCTTGACACCCCACCCTATGGGACCATCTCACAGCCAGGGAAGGTTTTCCTGTGTCCCGGCAATTTATCGCTGTGCTGGAACCAGCTCGGCCCCAGGCAGATATAAAGACAGACTGGAAATGAGCTTTAGGCCACCCTTGGGGCTCTTGGTGGGTAGAACCATGTACAGGAAGACTTGTTTTCTAGATGAGCTGAAGCAGTCCTGCTGAAAAGGATCTTGGCACTCACAGGGGCTGAAATAGGACATTCTGCCTTCACTCTGAAACACGCACCAAGTAATAAAGGCTCATTTTATTGGAGGAGTTTGTCATGAAGTGCTTAGAAATGCCACTGTCTTCATTATCTTTGCTGCCCTGGGAGACTAGAAATGAATTTTCCAGAATGTAAAGTCACCGTGGAGAAGCCTTAGGTGAGGCTCTTCAGACACCGTCCCAGTGCACAGAAACTGACTACCCGGGATTCAGAGCAGACGGCTGTAGCCGGAGACCATGGGAAGAAAACCCACGTAGATGTCAGCTACTGCTAAGCTCCAGGTGCTTTTTGGAGTGTGTTCGCACCTCAGGTTTTAAATGGCAGGGTCTCATGTAGCCCAGTTTGGCCCTAGACTTGCCATGTAACTAAGGAGAGTCTTGAACTTCTGATCCTCTTGCTGGCAACCGCCCAAACTCAGAAATGACAAATGCATGTTGTGTCACCATATACCCAGCTGTCCTTTTGCCTTCTCAAGATGGTTCCCGCCATTTGGATGTGAGGTTCAACTGAGTTAACCTGTCATGCGTGCCAACCCAGCTGCATCTCCATCTTAGTGGGATAGCTGCTCTCCTAATTCTGTAAGCAGACCTCCATTTATTTGAAAACCACCAGCCTTGCTCTTTGATCACAGAGTGAGAGAGAGCCCCGAGCATTGGGAGAGGCAGCCTTGATGATCCCTGCTGTTGGTGTCTGTCACCCCTCTTCTCCAGTCTGGCACCACTGAGAAGGGTCACATCTCTCAGGAAAAGCTGACTAGTTGGTACCACAAGGACTAGGCTGACTGCTCTGTGGGGGGCGGTCAAATCGTCCCAACTTCAGGACATTCCACTGCAATACTCTCAGTGACCTGTGTTCTCCATCCAGGAATTGGAGGGACATGGTCCTTTTGAGGGGTGTGGTAATAATGTGTGAAATAGATCATGGGATTAGATGGGCCATCCAAGAGGACCAGAGTGTTTACCAAAACTCCGTCCTAGGGTAATCCTAGCATTTGGGAAGTGGAAACAGGATGGTCAGGAGTTCAAGGCCAGCCTCAGCTACCAGGGTGTGGCTCAGTGGTGGAACTCAGTACTATGGAACAAACGGATAGGAAGAGCCTTATTTCTGGGTGACAGTGAAAAGTGCAGCCTGTGCAACCACGGAGGGAGGACCAGGGAGGAACTTAGCAGGTGACTTGCTGCCATCACAGGCCTCCATTACAGAACAACCTGGAGCTCATGGAATTCACTCAGCTGACCTTGAACTCACTCTGGAGTTCAGGTTGACACTTTGACCCTCCTGCCTCAGCCCTTAAGAGTATCTGGGATTCCATATGCCTACATTCCACCATGCCTAGCACCTGCCTTTATAAGGCTTGCTTTGGTTGCCTTGACATCAGAGCAGGGCAGCGACCTGGAGAGTTGAGTTCTAGGAGGGCAGGCACATGCCAACCCCAGAACTGCTCCCTGGTCTTGTGGGGGTTCAGCTTATCTGATAGTCATTGGATCGATGAACATGAGTCATCAGAACTGAGAGGAGACACACGGCCCTTGTAGAGAGGGCATGGAAACAGGGGCTAACTAGGTAGCAGTGTTGCCCCTGTGGAGGGGCTGGCAGATGGGCGGGGATCAGAGGTGTGATTTGCAGGTCCTGCTGCTGCCATTGCTGCCGCTGGAGTCAGCCATTCTGTTCCCTGGAGCTTCCTCAGCAGGACCAGAGGAGCTGATGGAGGTGGGGCTATCAATCTACATCTTTCAGTAGGGTCCTGGACCCACAGCCTTGACCACACAGAATCCCAGGTCTTATGCTCTGTGGCCCCCTCCCCACCTCAGGGCCCTTGTTCCTGTGTCTCTGGCTGACACTAGGCTTGCCTGGCCACCAGCGTTCCCCTCACCCACAAGCCCTGTTTCCCCTTAGCCAACAGCAGTGACAAGAGACCCCTGTTCATTAGCCCTCTACCTCTGCAGTCACTGCCTCTCCCACATAGAGAGGGCGGGGCCGGAAGGTCGCCCCTTCCTACTCACCCACACAGTCCTTCCGATTCCAGTGCAGCCTCCTCCCCGGTGGGCAGACACACTCGTAGCTGCCCTTGGTGTTGACACAGCCCTGCTCACAGCTGCCGTTGTTCATGCTACACTCATCCACGTCTGGAAACACAGGCAGGAGAGTGAGGGCAGGAGGGGTTGGGAACTACCAACCCAGGCCACACCCGTGGTGCTGGGAGGCCCAGGAGCACCCAGGGCGAGAGACTAGGAAGCTCTTGCTCCTTTTCCAATCTGGCTGAGGTCCGGGCAATCTCGGATAGCTCATCTCCTCAGGGAGAGCACCAGCTTCTTGCCAGCCTCAGTTTCCCGGCTTGCATAGTAGGCACCAGAGTGAAAGGAGCCACTGAGACCCTTCCTCCTCTGATCAAAAGCCTCTTTTAGGCAAGGGTTGGCCCTTCTTGCTCCAGGCTGCCAGCATGCAAGTGGGATAATACTTGGTGGCACTTTGAGAGTCCCTGGACAACAGCGCTAGCATCTAGTGGCTACTCCCCGGTCTCCAGGACTACTTGACCCTCTCAAGCTTCCTGCCATCCTTGGGTTATTGAGAAAGAAGAAAGGTCATGACCCCTTCCCATCTCCACCAGGCACATCTGGCCTGAGGCCCTTTGGCTCAGCTCATACTCATGTTGGCTATGGTGCTGGGCGTGGAACCCAGGAGCCAGGTGAGGACATCATCCCAGGCTCTTGAATCTTCTCTCCAGCACTGGCCCCCACCCCCACCCGGGAGGCTGCCTGGATCCCATGTTCCCTTCCCTGGAAAGCAAGAGCCCTTTGTCACACAAATATGACTTATTCTGTTTCAAGCCTTCCTGCTTTGGTGTGTAGCACTGTAAAGAAGCCCTCAGGCTTTTCTCCTCCAGGCTCATGCATGTGTCTCCCCGGGGGACAGTACCCTGTTTCCTGCTGCTTGTGGGCTCATCCCCGCTATATCCCCAGCCTCTGTGCCTCCGTACATGCTGTTCCCTCTGGACCGCTTTTCCACCTTGACCCAAACATTCCTCCCTTAGGATTCTTATTGTCTCACCATCCTTCCTGTCTCTGGAATGCACGTTCTGGAATTTTCTGTGCATTGGCCACCCCTTCTGGACTGGGGCAGCCCAGGAAATGAAGTTCTGGGCTTATGCTTCCAAACTTGCTAAGGCATCATGGCCTACCTCCCTTCCCATCTCTCTGTCCTCTGCTTTGCAGAATCCCTCTGTCCCCAAACTTCCCAGCCTTGCAAGGTCCCTCCCAGACCCACCAGGGTCAAGGTTTGGGTTGGGGTGTGGGGAGCAGTGTTGAGGGCCGTATAGCCAGGCGCGTGCCTCGAGGGGGAGGTGGCCCTGGTGGGCGGGCTGCAGACCTCCGCAGTGTGTTGTCCCATAGAGTGTGTAGCCTCGGTGGCACAGGCACTGGAAGCTGCCAGGGGAGTTGATGCAGACATGGTCGCAGGTCCGCTCAAAGGAGCACTCGTCGATGTCTGTGGCCGAGGGGAGACAGTGAGAGGTGACCGGGCAGGCCCAGTACCCAACGAACATCCCACCTGGACAGCCCCGGGGTCCCGAGGTTCGGCACAGCCTCCCACAGCCTAGCAGATTTCTTGTCAGTTTCCTACGCTGTCTCTGTGAGCCCTGTTGCTGGGGCAGAATGCCCTCATGTCTGTTCTGGAAGTGGGTGAGGCAAAATGTCATTAGTAGAGGGACCATTATGGCCCTCTGTTATGTGGGTTTCTTGCTCACGTGGTTAGAAAAGATATTTGCCTGTGTGTACGTGTGTGTGGGGTGTATGCATGTGTGTGCCCGTGTGTTTATCTGTGCATATATGTATAGGCTGGAGTTAATGTTGGGTATCTTCCTCATCTACTCCTCACTTTAATTACTTATTTAAATTTTTTTCATGCTTTTAATTATGCATATGTGAGTACAGTGCGGGAGGAGGACAGAAGAGGGTGTCAGAGTCCCAGGAGCGGGAGTTACAGGCCACTGTGAACTTCTGAGCACTCAGGTCCTCTACAAAAGCAGTCCTCCACCCTTAACTGCCAAGACATTGCTCTAGCCTTATTTTTATTTTTGAGACAGGGTCTCTCCCTGAATGAGAAGCTCGCTGTCAGCTAGACTTACTGGCTAACAAGTCTCAGGGGTCCCCTTGTCTCCACCCTCATTTCGATGATAGTGGACTAAGCCTCTGGAACTGCAAGCAAGCCTCCAATTAAATGCTTTCTCTTATAAGAGTTGCCTTGACTATGGTGTCTCTTCATAGTAATAGAATTTTGACTCAAAATAGCTGTTTCCCTCAGGGTTTATGCCAAGGGTAGACTGTCTTCTGTGAGCGCTGGGTTCATTTCTCCCAAGAAGCTTGCAAAATGGACACTGACCTGACCCTCTGTGGGCACAGCAAAGAGTTTGTTCTTTGTCTTTAACTCTAGTGATGTCATACTTATTCGAGGTATGTATGTGCTCATAAGACCCTGATGCAAGGGACGATGTAGGTGCTTGGATGAGGGTGGGAACTCTCCTTGGGGTCTGGGAGGACCTCCTAGGCTGTGGATGGAGGAGGGATGCCCCAGACAAAGGCAGGGAGGCCAGGGCACTGTATGAAGGTCAGAGGGCCCTGGGAATGTAGGAGGGTCCCTAAGGAGCTTGGACTCCTCTCTGTTGGACCTGGGGAGCATTCAGATAGATGAGCTGGAAAAGGGCGGAGACACGAATGAGGTGAGAAGGATGCCAGGAAGGGCCTGGTCCAGACCCTGCATGTGCCTACTGCTTTGTCTACTTTCTCAGGGGAGGTTGAGGATTCCAGGTCAAAGACCCTTGATCAATGGTCTAGCCTTCCTAATGCTGCAACCCTTTAATACAGTTCCTCACATTGTAATGTCCTCCCACCACAAAATTATTTCGCTCTTACTCATAACTGTAATTTTTCTATGTTATGAATCATAGTACAAATATCTGATATGCAGGATATCTGATATGTGGCCCTTGTGAAAGGGCCATTCAGCTCTCAAAGTGAGTAGCAGGCCAGGCTGGTACCCTGGGTAGCCTTCTCTTACCAGGACCTCACTGCCCAGACCCTGAGCTGCACTCACAGCCAGAGGCTGCCAGTCTGATGACTAAAGGGCTGAATACTTTGCAACTATGAGAGCCTTACAGGGACAAAACAGTCAGACCCTGATAGGATACTCAGGGTTAGAACTAAGGCCCTGGTACTTTTCATGTTTTTTCACCAAGTTGGTCCTCTAGGGCACCTGCCTCCTTCCCAATGGAACTTCAGCCCCACTGAGGTCTTGAGTACCGCCAAACTCCCTCTCCTAATGAGACAGCTTCTGGCTTCTCTTGGGAAATGATTTGTCCAGCATATAACCAGGGGCTTTCCCAGGACTCTCCCTGATCACCCTCCTCCTGGGATCCCTGCATTCTAGGGGCCCGCTGGGCTTGAGTTATCCAAGCCACTGTTGGAAAGTGTCTGTGATGTCTGATGCCTTCCAGCAGAAGGCAGTATTGTGCTTTCAGAGGTGGTCTGCCTGCACAGAGAAGGCAGGGATGGGAGCGGAGAGTGGGTGGGTTCCTCTCTGGGTTTTGGTACATATATGTGTGTGTGTGTGTGTGTGTGTGTGTGTGTGTGTGTGTGTGTGTGT